GTCACCATGAGCTGGAGTTGAGTGGCCGCTAACAGCTCTGTGTAACACACTTGTGTTTTTACATACTCATATATGTGTGTACCTATGAGTAGAGCTATTCCTCCAGAAATAACTCACTTAAAAATCAAGAAACCTTTGGCGCTTTGCCTGTGACTTGCCCTGTTAGGAGCTTTACGGCAAGTCGTTTAACCGCTGAGCTTCAGTTTCCTCTCCTCGGAATCACGTGTGGAAGGGGATTCCTTCTAACAGAATTCCAAGTTTGACATGATAGGCTTGTATAGCGCACTCAGATAAAGAGGCGTCCTGTTGGCTATAAACAGGGAGTAGTCATACCTATGGTGGCCGTTCCAACACAGTGAAATCTGTGTTTAAAATCTCCCTCCTCCATGGCCCCAGGGAACAGGCCTTTTGTCTACTCTCCTGCTTTCCTATGACTCAGAGCTAAAATATATATGCCCAATGCAAATATCAAATGGATGAAGCTAGCCCTGTTAGTGGCATACGCTGTTTTATGATGAGGAAAAACTGCCAGACCATCTGAAAACGACTGTTTGATAGATTTAACAAGAACCATGGCCCAGGCCAAAGTAGCCTGGAAGCAGGACACATCAAAGGCACTCGGCATCTACCAGATGGAGGGGGGACTGGGGGGGGGGGCACGTGGCCACAGGCCTGCGCTAGGGGAGCCGCCTCACTCCTCTCTGTTGGGAATCAGACATAGAAGAAGGAAACACGGAATGGGAGTGAGGCTCTAGGAGCAAAATCCCTGCCTAGGTTTGAGAGCAAGACCTGTGGAAACACTGAGGAGCGGCTCCTCGCAGGCTCCTGGCTGGCCGGGAGGAAGGAGGCCTCTGGAAGGCAGTCTCAGCGCAGAGAGCCAGTTGGCTCTGAGCACCACGTTAGGGAAGAGGCAAAGGGACTCCTTTCTATTCTTGCCTTTTGCGAACTTGATCAGGCTTTTCTGGGCAGCTGGAGCTGCTCTTTCCCCTGATGGATGTCTTTCAGTGCATCGCTTGCAAACACAATTACGGATGTTCTTTCCAGGTTTTTCCTTTTCTCTCTCTCCCCCCATGGAAAGCTTTATTCCTGTAAACGACCCAGGCAAATCCTAGTTTAATGTTCCTGCCTCCACACCCCCACCCCTTCTCATCGCCAGCTGTCCCGCCTCTGCTGCCCCGCCCCCCATGGCCTCCGCAGTGAAATGATGAGAAAACCATTGGCCCTGCTTGCTCACAAAGGACGGATCCCTGGGCGGGGCCAGCCGTTAGCTGGAGGTCAGAGCCCCCCTTCAGTGCTTCCCCAGAGAGGCCTGGCAATCTACTTCTGAGAAAAGCAGCCACTGAAAAGGCTAGGCGTGCCACTGTGCCCTGACACTCAGGGGGCCATCAGGGGTTGGGTTCGACTCGATGGCAACTTTGAACCTCTGTCTTGTGAGTGAGGTGAAGGGGTACACAGCACATCATCAGACCCTCAGTTGTACACGCCACGATGCATGCATGCACTGCTTCGTCTCATTCATGGCAACCCCTCCGATGCACCGCCTTCGTCCCACCTCCTTCCTGTGCTTCCTGCCCACCTCCCCCTTCCTCCTCTCCTGACCCTTCTGAGCACTGTCCTTGGGCAAGGGCTGCCCCAATGATCATAAATGGTGATTCTTCTAAGACACGCACATCACACATGTCTTACGTTTTCCATACAGACCCGTCGACTGTTAGGCTGAGGATCTCTGGCATATGGTGGTTGCATATGGGGCTGCTAGCTGCAAGGTCAGCAGTTCAAAACCACCTGCCTCTCTGAGGGCGAAAGAAGGGCCTTTCTACTCATGTGAAGTGTTACACGCTCAGAAACCCACAGGGGCAGACGACCCTGACCTATGGGGTCACTAGGAGTCGGAATCAGCCGGATGGCAGTGAGGTCGGTTTTATTTTGTTAGGCGGAAACTTGCGCCCTGGCAGAGGGACGAAGGGTCATAGGCTCAGAGGTTCCAGCAGATCAGTAAGCCTGAAGTCTTATGGTTTTGAGTTCTGTTCCACCTCTTTCTCCCACACTATCCAGAGCGATCGGTGGGATCCCTTTCAGAGCAGTTGGTAGTGGTAGCTGGGCATCTTCTACTTCTTGTGGTTTCTCTGGTGAAGACTGATGTTCAAGTGGCCCGTTTGTTGACTGCACCACCAGTGTCCATGAATCTTAAATTCTCACCAGTCTTCTTTCAGACAGGGAGACATGAATAGTTGCACCTGAGAGGGCATGGTTTTTCAAGCCCATCTACTATTCACCAAAGTAAGATGTAGACCATTGTCTCTGTGGATGATACTAGGCCAATTGTGCATGGTGTCCCCGAGCCTGGAGTTCTGAAACCGCAGGCCCAGTGACTCATTCTCTCAAGGTGTCTGGTTATGCTTAATTCATGAAGGGATGGGACATCTCTGAGGACACAGAAGACCACTTGAGGTCTCTTCCCATCTATATTTCCTGGGAGAGCAGATCCAAAGCGTTGAAGTCAGGTTGAGGCAATGCTACCAGTGTCACATTCCTTAGTGTGCCTACGACATGCCAAGTGCTTCTGTCTGCATGGCCAAGGTTGCTGTGGCTCTTACTCTCTTCCATCATGGCCGCCATCATGGCCGTCCCATGTGCGCAGAGGACCACTGCTCCGTGGGCTTGTCTGGGCGGGGATGTTTGGGATGCAAATCACCAGGCTTTACTTCAAAGTGCTCCTGGGTGGGTTGAATCTGTGTGCCTGCCAGGAACTCCTTCCATTATTGAGGACAAACACAAACACCAAACCCACTCGCCATTGAGCCAATTCTGACTCATCATGATCCTCTATTATTGAGTAAGCACATCAGGTTCCCCAGGAACTTACAACCCGGAAAGGAAAACAGACAGGCACAAAAACTGTGATTCTCCAGTGGGTGGTGGCAGGACAAGCCCAGAGCCCTGAGGGAGGGAGGAGAAGCCCAGCTGTGCTGGCTAGTGGTGGTTGGGATTGGAGGTGGAGGAAGAGGAGATGCAGGGAGAACCTTGAAGGAGTGAGTGTTTTTTCATCTGGCCTTGCTTCTAGACAATTGATATGGGGACCCAGGAAGGTGACTCCAAGCCCTGAATTGGTAGAGAGACCTTTCTCTGCTTTGTTTTTCCATCCTACCACCTTCAGGTTCAGAACCAGCTAATAGCTGTAGGAGGAACTGGGACCAGGGAAGTCCCTGGCATGTCTGTTTGGTCCTGAGCACCAGCCACTTTCAGATAGAGCCCAATGGGTGGTGCCTGAGAGGTGGGCGGGTGAAGAAAAGCCCTTCTGTGCTGAATGGAGTGTGGGGTGGAGCGGGGTGGGGGTGAGTAACTGAAACGGAGGAGGCTGCTGCCTCCAGGGCCCAGGCAGGCACCCACCTGCTCTGGGAAGACAAGGGGAGGGGGAGGAGGGGGGAATCAACTCCAGCATTTGGCTCAGGGTTAGCTGGCAAGAATGAACTGATTTCTTTCATCCTCAAGAGAATGGCCTTAAGAATCCCTTTGTGTTGATGAAGAAACCCAGGGCTCTGACAATTTAAGTCATTAAGATCATGGCGTGAACGACCACACCAGGAATTAAACAGAGCTTCCCCATTCCATGAATCTTCGCTGAGTTGAGTCCAACTCTTGGAGAGCCCATGTATGTCAACATAGGTCTGTCAACGGCTGCCTTTTTGGAAGTCGGTCACGAGGCTTTTCTTCTGGGTGGCATCAAACCACCATCCTTTGGATTATCCGACAACCACCTTAATCATTTGCACTGCTATCCAACTCCATAGTCCAAATGATTTTTACTGCTCTCCATGGCCTGTGTTGCTGTCCTATGGCGCCATATTATTTGAAGGCCTCTTGGCCAGTCCTCTCGCTCCTGGAAGGCGAGAGGTGGGAGTGTCTATTCTGCCTGGTTGGTGTGCAGTCAGGAATTCCAGGATTCGAGGGCCATTGCTTTTAGGGTAAGAGTGATCTCTCTTTAGCAGCCCCGTTTTTAAAATGTAAGGATCCTTAAGCTGGGAAACATGTGAACAGAATCACTCACTGATTTTTTTTTCATTGAGTATTGGGTATCTGGCCTGGTGTAATATCCCAGGACCAGCCGTGTCTCCATGCGCCTGTTGGCTGGGTGGGCAGGGAGGGCAAATCCAGGGAGGGCCAGGCTGCAGCTGCTCTAGACTCAGGTAGGTCTGGCGGTGGTTTTGCCAGACTGTGGCGATGAGCAGAGGGGACTGAAAGAACCATAGTCATTCCTCCTTCCCGCACACCTTCCGGGGTCTGAATTGTTTCTGCAAGTTTTCCCTCGGTGGCCTTGACACCAGTGTGTTCCACCTTGTGTGCTCGAATTATCCCTAATTGAGCCCAAGCCTTCGTCAGGTACAAAATTGCCATCGAGTAGATCCTGATCCAAACAAGTTATAGGGACTAGTATATTCCCTCAAAGAAGCCGTGGTGGCACAGGAGCCTGGAGGGAAGGGGGGGAAGGTGGTGGTAATGGTGACACATTGAACTGTTCACTGCAATGTCAGCAGTTTGACACCACCAACCTCTCCTTGGGAGAACGATGAGGCTTGCTATTCCCCGTAAGTGTTACAGTCTCAGGGACTCACCAGGGCAGTTCTACGGTGTTCTGTGAGTCAGCATCGGCTGGATGGCAGTGAGAGTGAGTGAGTGTGCCATGGAGCCGATTCTGAAATATACACATGCAGAGGGGCCAGTGTATTTCCCAGAGGAAGCCGTGGTACACTGGTGGAGCTGCTAACCAGAAGGCTGGTGCTTTGAACACATCAACTGCTCTTAAGGACATCAACGTGGCAGGGGCTTCTGTGAAGGTTATAGCTAGGCTGGGCTGTTGTTTGGTACCATCTAGTTGATTTGACGCACAGGGAACCCGTGTGACAATAGAACTGGCCCCTAGGGTTGTCTAGGCTGTATAAGGGGGCTTCAAATGTTTGTGGGAAAATTCCATTATCTTTCAACTCCATTTTTTTTTCCAGGAGCTATTCGAAACCCCATCACCTTATGAATATACATCATGGACTGCCAGAAGAATCAACATGTCTATTTGGAAGGAAGTACTGCCAGACAGTCCTTAGAAGCAAGGACGGCAAGACTTTGCTTCAGGTACTCTGCATCGGTGAGCGGGGGGGAGTCAGAGACGACTCCCTAGAGCAGGACGGTAGAGTGACAGTGAAAGGAAGGGAGCTCCTCCACACGGTGGAGGGACATGGTCACCACAACAACGGGCTGCAACACAGCAACAGTTGTGAGGATGGTGCGGGACCGGGCTGTGTCTCATTTCATTGCACACAGGATCGCCGCATCGGAATGGAGTCAATGGCCCAACAACAACCACAGTAACATTTCTGGAAGCAGACTGCCAAGTCGTCCTCTCAAGTTGCTCCTGGGTGAGTTAGCAGTCCAGTGCTTTACACCTTGCACTACCAGGGCTCCTTCACCCAATATGGCCTCCTGGGAAATAGCTGCAGACAGTCCAAGCTCAGTGAGACAGAGGAATGGAGTCAGAGGGTCAGTAACTCTTTGTTCTCCTGGTTATAGCATCTTCCACCCTGGGCATACTACCCAGTCCTTAAAAACTAGCTCAAGAGATACAGCTCATTTTAATGAAATTTTAAGAGTCATTGTTATTCATCTTTTTGTTCCAGAAATACAGGGAGTCAAGGGAAGTGTTACAGTTTAAGTGGAAAATAGGGAGGTATCTTCAATCACACAAAAAGAAAAGCAATTATATAAGTGTGCTGCTAATGAAAAAAATTTTTAAAGCTACAGCTACATCACTTCTTCACACAGAGAAATTAAGTTTGAAATCTGATGTAAATATTGGGAATGGTGCTTTGATGATTCTGCATTCCTCATAGTGAGGCGGATGAGTTAGAGACAATGATATAAAATAAACAGATCAAAGCTGACAGCAAGGGAGGTGACAGAAATCCTTTGGCTGGCCATAGACATGTATTTGCAAGCTCAAATTATTCATGGGGAAGAAAAGGTGTGTATTTGACTCAGAATAAGAACTTCTAGAAGAAATTAGGGAAAATAACTCTCCCCTCATCTTTCTGCTTTGTTCAGCTACACAGATCTATTTAAACCAGTGGTTCTCAACCTTCCTAATGCCGCAACCCTTTAATACAATTCCTCATGTTGTGGTGACCTCCCAACCATCAAATTATTTTCATTGCTATTTCATAACTGTAATTTTGCTACTGTTATGAATTGGGCGACCCCTGTGAAAGGGTCATTCAACCCTCAAAGGGGTCTCGACCCACAGGTTGAGAACTGCTGACTTAAACAAATAACAACAACAACAAAAGCATGGCAATTTCTTTTATTTTTATTAACAAACAGCTCTTATAACAATCCATACATCAATTGTATCAAACACATTTATACATGCATTACCATCATCATTTCCAAAACATTTTCTTTCTGCTTGAGCCCTTGGTATTAGTTCCTCTTTTTCCCCTCCCTCTCTCATCCTCCCACCCTCATGGACCCTTGATAAATGATAAATGATTGTTATTTTCATATCTTACACTGTCTGCTGTCTCCCTTTGCCCACGTTTCTGTTGTTCATGCCCCTGGTGGTAGTGGTGATGGTAGTGTGTGTGTGTGGTGGTGGGGAGGGGTGTTATATGTTGATCATTGTAGTTGGTTCCCTGATGTTGAATTTCTGTAGCACTAGCTGAAATAGTTCAACAAACTGATACGGCAGTGGAGGCACACACTCATTTATGCTCAGAAATTAAGAAAATAGCTACTTGGCCAACCAACTGGAAAAGACTCCTATTGGTGCCCATTCCAAAGAAGGGGGTCCCATCAGAATGTGGAAATTATTGAAAAATACCATGGATAGCACATGCAAGTAAACTTTTGCTGAAGATAAACGAAAAACGGTAGCAGCAGGACATCAACAGAGAACTGCCAGAAATTTAAACTGGATTCTGAAGCAGACATGGAAAGAGGAGCATTCTTGTTGACATTAGATGGGTCTTGACTGGAGGTGGAGAATACCAGAAACATGTTTACTGGTGTTTTATTGACGATGATGAGACATTCGACGGTGTGGATTGTAATTAACTATGAATAGCACCACAAAGAATGGGAATGTCAATGAACTTAATTGTGCTCACAGAGAACATGCACACAGACCAAGACGCAGTTATTCGAACAGATCAAGGGGGTTCTGAATGTTTAAAAATGTTTTAAAGGTGTTCATTAGGGTGATATCATTTCACCGTGTTTACAGTCTTGAGGTTGAGAAAATAAGCCTAGAAGCTGCTCCCGATGAAGAAGAACTTGACATCAGCATTTGAGAAAGGCTCCTTAACAGTTTATGATATGCAAACAACACAACCTGGCTTGCTGAAATAGGAGAGGACTTGAGCTACTTGCTAATGAAGATCAAAGACAGCGGCCTCCACTGTGGATCACGACTCAATGCAAAGAAAGCAAAAGTCTTTACAACTGACCCAATAGACAACATCATGATCAACAGAGAAAAGATCGAAGCGATCAAGGATTTCATTGTATGTGGATCCACAATGAATGCTCACGGAAGCAGCAATCAAGACACCAAACAATGTACCGCATTCCGCGAATCTGCTGCCTAGGACCTCTTTAAAGTGTTAAAGCGCAAAGAATGTCCCTTCAAAGACAAAGGTGTGCCCGACTCTAGTCATATTTTCAGACACTTCATATGGATGTGAAAGCTGGACAGGGAATAATGAAAACTGGAGAAGAACGGATGCCTTTGAGCTGTAATGTTGTTGGAGAATATTGAATATGTCATCTTGAGAATTAGGTTTATTGGGCCAACCTGGCCAATAGGAACACGTGGGATTAACAAGGTCGCAGTTTGAATGGAGGGCAAAGAGATAAATGGCTCTGCAAGGCCCACCCCCCTCTCTCTTACTTAGCTAGTTCTCTGCCTCAACTTGTGAGCCACATTACCCTTGGACAATGGCAACCCGTGGTTCATGTCGCTGGGGCTTGAGGCTCCTTAGAGACTTGCTGTGCCATGCTGATGATGCATGCATTGCTTGAGTTTGAGGCTGGTGGATCCTGTTGCCTTGCATCGCTTGAGTTCAATATCCCATCGAGCCTGTTTCGCTAAGCTCCTGAGCTACTGACTGTTGCTGACCCACCTTGCTGTTTGCTATCTTCAGGCAGATTCTGCCTGCCTTGCCCAAGGGAGGACTTTGCTGTCTGCTTCCTTGACCTTGGACCTGGCAGCCCACAGGAGTTGAAAGACTTCCAGTATATTAATGGTTCCATGGGAGTGAGTTAAACTGAAACCTCTGTACTGCTGTGTGGATAACTAGCTGTTCCACTCCTTCTCAGTGTAGAAACCTATTTATCTATATCTATCTATCTATCTATCTATCTATCTATCTATCTATCTATCTATCGATGTAATTATAAGCGTCCTGTTTTTTTCTCTCTAGGGAAGGAACCTTATTTAACACAGCCATGGACTGCTAGAAGAACAAATTGTCTTGTAAGAAGGATGCTTGGAATGACCCTTAGAAGTGAGGATGCTGAGCTTTTCTCATACTTTGGACATGTTATCAGAAAAGGGTAGTCCCTGGATAAGGACATCATGCTTGTAAAGTGGGGGTGGGGGGGAGTCCATGATAAACAGGAAGACCTTCAATGAGCTGGACGGACACAGTGGCACAGCAGTGGTCTCGATATAGCAGGGACATGTGAGGAAAGTGGAAAAACAGGCAATGTTTCATTCTGTTGAGTTGGATCAATTTGATGGTATCTAACAACTGTCCAAATGCTTGTTCTCCTTGGTAAATGACTTTAATCTTTCAAAATTTGAAGTTTCATCTGCAGAGGGAAGCCATGGCCTAGTCTCCAAGCAGCATGTTTGTGCATCAAATATAGCTAGATTAAAATTCAGGTTCTACTACTTACTGGGTGTGTGGCTTGGAGCAAATATTTAAACTCCTTGAGTTTCCTTATTTAAAGTTGGAAGGTCACCTGTAGTGATAATGTCTTTTACAGGCAATGTTACAAGAATCAGTTAGATGCTCTCTGAGAAGCATTTTACACTGAGCAAGAACTCAAAGAAAGGCCTCCCTGAGTTCTCAGCCCCTTCTCAATGTCTCCATCTAATGGTTGTTGATTGGGTCTTCCCCCCTACAGAGAACAGGCTACTTGAAGATAAGGAGTGTGTCTTGTCTTATCGTTATCAATGAGTCTTCTGCACAAAATCGATAGGATTGCTTTCCATTTTGCTGTGGTTGAAGAGATCTCCCAGTTTACAAATTAATTGGTATTTCAGTACTCTTATTTCTCAAGAAAGTTTTCACCTGTTGCCTCACAGTGATACATGTGTGTGCACATGCATGTGTATGAGCACATGTGTGTACGTGAATGCCCATATGCATATGTTGGTGTGCTAGAGACTGAACTTTATAAGATGCGGTCAAAGGCTAATGTCTGTGGCAAGGAATGGGCTGAATTTGACAGTTAACTTTATCCAGGGACACAGAGGTGAGGAGAGGTACATGAGATTTTATGTTGGACTGGAGGATTGGAGGAGTAGTTATCCATTTGATAGGTAAGGCTTGTGATTGCTACTGAGAAAGGTGTTCAGTACTCATAAATACCAGGAAATTATCTACGATAGGGAACCCGGCATTTTTATCACTAAATCATGATCCTCCTGGATATTAAGTGAGAATACCTTGGGCTGAGGAGCCATGGTGGCATAGTGGTAATGAGTTGGGCTGTGATCTGCAAGTTCTGCAGTTTGAAACCCCTGGTCACTCTAAGCAAGAAAAATGGGGCTTTCTACTCCCATAAACAACTACACTCTCAAAAACCATTCTGTCTTACAGGGTCACCCTGTCTTACAGGGTCCCTAAGAGTCGGCGTCGTCTGAATGGCAAGGAGTTGAGCCTTAGGCTGCTGATCTGCCATGGGTTATTAACTAGCCAATCTTTTATCTACTTGTTTACACACTAGATCTAGGTCCTTGGAGGCATTTGGTCTCAGATGACTTGGTGATTACTTCACGTTCGCCTCTGTTTAATGCCATGCCTGTCCCTCCCACAGTCACTGCTTGTGGAGCTTGACAGCCCATGAAATGGATGACCATGCTCTCATTCCCTTTTCCTACTGGAGGAGGAAAAGGTCATGTTTACCAACACCTGGAGAGAGGCTAGCCTTGGGCAAGTGTCCATTCTCAAATCTATCCATTCCCATTCATTCCGTAAATAAGTATGGAGTCCATGGTGTGCTGGGCACTGTTAAGGCAGTGAAGACCTATTTGATGCCAGGCACTATGCCACACTCTGGAGACCACAGAAAAATGGTGAGGTCCTACCCTGAGGAAGTTATTGGGAAGTCAGCCTGTCCTCAAGGTTAGTTTAGTCACTAGACTCTAGTGGGAGGTGTCTGAAGAAATGTGTTTTTAATACAGTAGTGAAAGACAAGGGAGTAAAGGAATGATAGCCCAGAGGGTGTTCTAGTTCCTTAAGTTTATAGTTAAGCATCACTTCCTGGCCTTGAGTGGCTACTTTGAGACTTTACTTCCACCTCTAGGTCATGCCCCAGGAAGCATAGCAAAGAGTTACTGCCCAATTTTCCAACTGGGTACCACTTTAATTTTGAAACACTGCTCTTGACCTGTTCATGCCAGGGCATTCTTTCCTCCTTTTTCTAGATCAGCGGTTCTCAAGGGTTGAATGACCCTTTCACAGGGGTCGCCCAATTCATAACAGTAGCAAAATGACAGTTATGAAGTAGCAACGAAAATAATGTTATGGTTGGGGGTGGGGGGTCACCACAACATGAGGAACTGTATGAAAGGGTCGTGGCATTAGGAAGGTTGAGAACCACTGTTCTAGATGAACTTTGGATCTTGAACTTGGTGCTCAGACTGTGGGTTCCCCTCTATTTACACATGCTCAGACTCTGGGTTTAAATCCAGTCTCAGGTCAGCCAAATCTGTGATTAGGAATGCCCTGGCATACAATCAGTTCACGAGGCACACTTCCAATCCAAGGGCAGAGGTTTAAACGCACTCTGTTTATTTGAAGTCGTGTTTCTCCAAAACCTTCCTAAGTAGCTATCCATTTTGGATATCATATCCATCTGTATATCGATTTGAATCTTTTAATAAGATAATGAAAGCTCCCGTGTCGTCTTGTGGTTGGGTCGTCATGTCAAACTGTTGTCCATAGACACCGATTGCTTTGGAGTCAGCCTCCATCGCAGCGATGCCACGTGGGTCACAGTAGAACCGTGTTCCCTAGAGCTTTCCGTGGGTGGTTTTCTACAAGTAGACTGGCAGGCCTTTCTTCGGACGCACCTCTGGGTAGGCTCAAACTTCCAACCTTCCATTTAGTAGTCCACCACCTGACCTGTTTGTACCACCCGGGGCTCCTCTGTCTTGATGCAGTACTGTAAATCCAACTAAGACATCTGCGACATTTAGAAAGCAGCCCGCACTTCGAGAAGGCAGTTACTTGTTACTACATTGCCCAACGCTCGCGAAAAGAAGGCATTCAATCGTCATTATATATCTGTCACTGAACCAAGAGTGTATGAGATGTCAGAGTCACAAGGCAATCACGCAGAATGAGAAAGTTAGACTCCCTCAGAAAACCAGCCACAGGACGCAGGCATACAAACCAAGGCAGATAACCACATGAGTGGCCTGGCGACACCACGCTATCAGGATTCAGAGCTGAGGGAAAGATCGCTGCCAAGTGGGATGGAATTCGAGCGGGGCCTTGAAGAAGAGTTGGGGTTACAGTGGAAGAGAGGGGGGCGGAGCCAGAACGTGGGGATGAGGGCTTACACAAAGGCATGAGGTGAGGAGGTGCCTGGGATTGCGTAACATCAAAAGAACCGCAGCCTTACTGATCTAGCAAAAGCTCCCTGGCTTTCAGGTAGCCATTGTGCTACTGATAGAATTGGAAGGCCCAGATAAGAGTGATGGGCTTGAAAATGAAAAGCAGAAACAGATCTAGTGGCGCTAGTAGGCAGTTGAACTCCATAAAGCATTCATCACTTTTTACATTTGCTAGGGAGGGTGAGGTCCGGAGTTTCTATGTTTAGCTTCTTTACCAGGAGAGGAGAAAACTCTCTTTGGTCATTAGAGAGCTTCTCTGGGAATTGGCCTTGCTGGGTAATTTCACTCACTGCCCGGTCCAATTAAGATCGTCCACTGCAGAGAGTGACATGGGCCCTGGATTTTGCATCTGTGAAGTCTGCTGTGACAGCCTGGGTTTAGAAAGGTGAATGTGGGTAAACGACGTGTCTGCTGGGATTTTCTAAGGGTAGTGTGACATGTGTTCAGCACAGCTGTGGCCAACAGGCTTTTCAGTCTTTGTAAGGGTGCATTTACCACATTTGCCAGTGATTTCTGGGTGTGTTCTGATGGCTTCGTGAAGTCTGGTGGCTGCTACCGGCTTACTCGCTCGTCTGGATCCCATTGGGAGAATGAGCTTCCATCAGGGAGGGTACAAGGAAAGGATTGGAGTTGAGACGGAGGGCTGGAATGGATGTTCAGTGGAGACAAGCTGGGCTGAACTCTCGTAGACGGTAGGAGGCCAAGGAAGTATCCAGAAGGATAGTTGTTGTTTTCGGGTGCTGAGGAGCCAGTCTTGGAAGGCTGGTGCCTTGGGCAATGTATGAGAGCGGTCTGCAGAGAGACATGGCAGGTGCATGTCACTCTTGAATGACAGCCGTTGAGCATGGTGACTTGTACGAAGGGGACCATGAAAAGGAACTTTCAAGCACTCTGACTTCCAGTGCAATCTCCTTTGGTTTCAAGCTACAGATACACACTCAAGTGTGAGCAAGCACAAGTAAATCCTTTTTGCTGGTTTTTGTCCGCACACGCGCACGTGTGTGTGTGTGTGTGTGTGTGTGTGTGTATGTGTGTGTGTGTTCCTGAAATCCCATCAGGAGAGTTTCAATTAATCCACAGTTCTTTCAATTAGACTGAAGCCTGAAAAGCCCTCTGGAACCTGAAGCTGTGCCCCTCTCCCCCTGCCAGTGTCCTAGGGTCTACTTGATCTCTCATCCCTTTCTCTTAGGGTGCCAGCTGCAGCTCCCCACTCAAGCCCCACCCTCTGACCCCCCATGACATTCTCTGCGTTTTCATCTTGTGCACGGGCCCATTTGGCTGCCAGCCCCACTATTCGGTCAGGCTGGCTGGGGCTATCTGCTAGTCCACATACAAGTGTATTAGTGAGAGATTGGGCGCTGGAAAGCCAGTGGATTAGCTAGCTGGGGATCAAGTGTCCAGCCTTGATCCAGTCTGCGGTGTCAGGCCTCAAAGAACAAAAAAACATATCATTGTGAATGAGGTGGAGTGCAGAGTGTGGACCCAAAGCCCATACATAGGCAACTGAACATCCCCTTACAGAAGGGTTTCAGGGAGGAGATGAGCCAGTTAAGGTGCAGTGTAACAATGATGGAACATACAACTTTCCTCTAGTTCTTAAATGCTTCCTCCTACCCACTATCATGATCCCAATTCTACCTTACAAATCC